ACTCTATACGGTCCCTTCTCTGTGTCTCCACGAATGCCACTTCATATGAACGAATGCTTCGGTTTGAAAGTCGATCATCCTGCGGTTTGTCTATACCAATTAGGCTAACTACTCCAGGATCTGCTTTACTGAAAACATTTGACCGTGCCTCAAAGTATGAACCAGTCGTTGAGGAAGTCGAACTTATAAGTTGCGATCCATATTAAGCCCATGTTATTTTTCCCGGAGGAAAAGAATGCACTGTATCCGTCCTTCATCTCGCTGCTTGTGGTGATCGGCCACACGTCAACGAGTTCACGCGTACCTCATCCAGTGAAGGCAATGGCCGACTTGCATGCGCCTCCGCTCAATAACCATAATGATAATACCGATTAGACTTCAGTCTCATCCCCGTGCCCGGGTGATGTACCTGCATCTCCAAATACATATGATTTAGCCAGGCTCCAGCAGCTTACGCCACCCTATATTTTAAGAAACCGAGAAGCCTGACCACACTCATTATCCGTTAGTGGGTTTTTACAATCATTCATTCAGTCCCCGCGTCCGTATTACCCCTCTCTACACACAATCCAACGTCCCAGGTGAATGTAATGACTATCCTTTGTGTTCACATTGTCGTTTCCTATTAACCATGCTTTCGCCTTCACTTTCAGCTTCTGTACGTCTATTCTTAAACAAGGGGGCGAGATAGCCCAAGTGGTTGGAGCGCGAATTTACTGACCGGAGGGTCCGTGGTTCGAACCCGACCTCTGCCTCTCGACCTCCTCTGTCTAGGCTTGGGCAACTTGGTAGTATCCAAGCCCCCGTGCCTCATTCGGGTGGCATGGGAGCTAGGCACCGGAAGGATGTTACAGTTGAGCGATTTATTTTTATCTCATTCTTAGACAAGTCAAGCGCTATCCAGTCTTGTTCTCGCGCTCAATCAGGAGCGATACTCCATCTGTAACAACTAACAAGTCATTTTCATGTTACCAAGTATCGACGAAGACCTCAAGACAAGGTCGTCTCCCCCTGGAGAGAGAACCGCTCAGAATAAACCACTTTTGGTTGGTGTCCTGATGCGCATTCAGACGGCAGGCTTCCTACAAAGAGGTAGGTCCCTTGAGGCAGTCACTCTAAAAAGTAATAAGTGTTGTTGGTAGTGTGAGGAGATTTGGGATTTTTGTGGAAATTTCGTCCTGTAAGTGAAGCCAATCTATGCTGAAAAGCCGAGAAGCACTGTGCTTCTTCACTTACAGGACGAAATCTCCACAGTAATAAGTGTACACGAAGATTTCCAAGTTCATACAACCCTAAGTATCACAGGGTCTCGAGAACTATACATAATGCAACTCCTGGAGTTGCGTGCACTAAAGCCGGTTTCCAGATATCTTACTAACGATACTGGGACGCGTAAGAAGCTTTAGCGTTGAAACAACTCCGAAAGTTCTAAATGGAACCAGGTCATGAAGTAGGAAGATTCGGAGTCAATCACCCAGTAAACGTATTGACGAAACCCTGATAGGTAAGTAAGCTCAATCGGAAACTATGCGCGATATCTTCACAGTACATGATACCAAAATATTAACCAATTATGGGAAGGAGCACCGACCGGAAATCACAGCACATTCTGGGCGTAAGTTTGTCCAAGTGATCGCACTTTCTAGCGTCATGGAGCCATTGGTAGGCTCTAAAGCCTTCCACATGATTTGTGCTTACTACGGATGTGGGACCGGTGAATTCTTAAAAAGGTTGACAGTATGGTGAATGTATCAAATAACTCGTCTTGCCCGTCCCTCGGTTATCGAACTAACCGTGAATAATTGGGATTAGGGTATTCGAATTATGGAATGTTCCCTAGAAAGTGCTTTCAACTTAAACGAAGTTGCTGAAAACTCTTCGACAGCCCACGACCCGTTTCGACTTTTTTCAAGCTCATTAGGTGGGCGCAGTCCCCAAGTGTCCGTCAGCATTGAATCCACATTGCAAGAAATTTGATTTATATACTCATCCGCATACCAATTTATTTTGACCGGAGAATCAACGGGATCCTTTTTCTGATATTCTTCAACTGAATGCGCTGCACAAAGGACCTCATGTTCAGTTGGTGTGATGTTCGGGATACCACAGTATATTTGTATAAAGGAAACTACTCACAAGGTTGCCGAGAACTCTTCGAAGGATAAGATAATGATCGTTCAGTCGCAAAGCCCTTTCGGTGCCTAGCTGCCATGCTACCCAAAGGAAGTACGAAGACTGGGATACTGCCAGGTTGCCCAAGCCTACACAGGGGAAGTCGAGAGGCAGAGGTCGGGTTCGAACTACGGACCTTCCGGTCGGTAAATTCGCGCTCTAACCACTGAGCTGTCTCTTCGACAGTCCACCAGTTGTTCCGCCCTTCTTGGAACTCATCAGGTAGGCGCGGTCCTCGAGTTTTCAACTTCAACCCAAGTTGTACAAAATCCGCGAACTGCACTCATTTGCACACCAGTTTGGCTTTAACAGGAGACCCAAGTGATAGCCTCGTTTACGATAATCTCCAACCATCATTTGAACCTATTATTATAGGCTCTGAAAACCCGCCCCCCGACAACTACTTGCCCGTTTTGTGGATTCTGCATCTAAGTTTTTTTGAACATATCAACGTCCAAGGTCACAAGTCACTCCGTGAGGTCAAAAAATCCTGACCACAAGATTACGTGCAACCAGAGTCCTAAAGAGGGTCACCGAATGAGCCGGTAAATGCGGCTTATGGCACACACAACACATCCACACAACCACAAAGTTAATAGAAACAAGCTGGAGCCGTTTATTTACTTGCCTGGAGCAGTCGACAACGGGAAAGGCAGGAAGCGTGCATTTCATTTACGTAGCTGCAAATCCTCTTCAAGTACATAACGGCTTGCAGCCGAGGTGTAATGGGGGTGAACATCAAGATGGTTAACAGTTGGTTTGGGTCGCATTTCTGTTAGGCTATAAGGGGATCGGTAGATGGAACGGCGGAGTTCAGTGTTCTTAATTTAGTCGTACTTAGAACGTAAATGTTAAACAGCTGCGGATAAGAAACCGCTAGCCGGTACTCCCAGAATGCCCACATGCGAATAACCGCAAGGTAGATATTGTAAATATCTTGCTAGGTCCTTATTGATGGAATCAGATGCATACAGCTTTTTAAGAGGGAAGGGAACAACCAACCAACTGCACCGTCCCCGGATGAACACGAACACGTTGAGCTACCTGAGTGCACTTTATTGATGAACTTAACTATGGTCATTTTTATTATGGAAAGTACTTCTTCCATGAGCATGATGTAGATTATACAAATGCACATCAGGCTCAACGTACACGAATGCGGTTCGAAAATGTTCCTGTCAATTCCATAACCACGGGCAATATGCAAACAACGTAAAACCTGGTCAGACACTGTTAATCTCCATTAATTCACTCCATGAAAACATGGGTTTCTGTCAGTCAGGATATGCCTTCGTACCCCGTCCTGGCCGTCTGTCGTTTTACACCAGGCAGTGTCGCACCTCGTTCCCATTCTTCACCACCTTCAAACACCTGGCACACCATCTGTCATGTTCAGTAGTGTCGACTAAAAAGGCCAAGGGAATATATTTGAAAAATTTCGTTCCACAAACAACTGAATCGGGTTATCACAGTCCGATTCTCATACAGGCTTGTTAGCCAAGTTCAGGGGCACGAAACTAGTCAACTGTGAAGGAGTTGCATCCGTTATGTGTTATTTGAGGCCATAGCTACGATTGAAAAAGTCAGGCTTCATGCCCTGCCCGGTGTCGAATAGTTCAAGCAACCGGCATGGGTATTCCTGAGTTAACCCAATGACTGTGCCACGCCCAGCATTTCCAACGTCCTAACTTTTTCAACATATGCTCAACTATCATGAGACCCAACATCTAGTGAATAGGGCCAAAGTGTTCATTGATGCTATTCTCAGACCACTCCAGTTCCGAAGTCGAATAAAGCGTGGCGGACGTTGAATGGATCTCACAAGTGAACAGTTATACCATGGTGACCAACTTAGGCCCAAGCCGGCTCGTTGATCAGTAGTGTTTAATGACCCCAGCCCAATGTCCATTGGCCAAGGCTTGGATTATAACGGTACAGTATGAGTAGCGGTTCCATGAATTCGGTTGCCTAGATAATCCGCAACCCATTGTCAGAACCACCCCCTACGAAAACCTTCCCAACTGAACATTGTTCCTCTTGATTTCACAAAACGACTCTTTTTAGGCCACGCCAGACTCAGGCTTCGTCTGTATAAGGAACTATCAGTGACACATTACCTCACCGGACACTGGCGTCACCGGGCTTCACAAGAGCGCGCCCGTGGAATATCGGGTAAACGTGCCTGCCCCACTCATCAGATCGTCATTTGGTTATCACTGAATCAGCCTGCCAGGTAACGGGAAACACAAATGACCGTATATCACAAACAGATCACTGTTCTATGGTCATCTTAGGCTTACAGTCACACCATTAGTAGAGTTTACAGAAAGCAAAATAAAATAACAAATCGAGTAGAATAATGGAAACTGCGCATGCAAACAACTGGTCGGAAGGTAACTGTACGTGGCAACAACAGCGGTGATTTGTAGTTGATCTAGTCGCGTACTGGCGAGGAAGAAAGCAAGGGAGCGGGCCACATAATCACACGTATACAAGCATTTGATCAAATGAAAAACAACATTTCATCTGTTAACACATCTCTGTAATGCATCGCCACAGGGTGAAAGACAACGCTATCTCATGGATAGCTGGAGGAATAATCTGGGGCTGTGGATCGCAAAAAAGTCACTAGAGTTTGATGGAAAAGAATGCTCGATCTCACTCACCTGGGTCTGTAGACACCCATTCCAGGATGCTGCAGAATGTGGATGTGTGGTCTGTTGGATGAAAACTTGGCAGCATAAGGCTTACGCAATTGCAGGAACAGTAAATAACTTTGTAATCCAGCATTTGTTCGTACAGAGATGGATACAGGAAAATGGAAGCTCTCACTCAGAGGCCCCAGTTAGACGATGAAATAAGCGTTCGTTGCAATCCTGACTTTTTTCTGGAGTTCGCTGACTTAAGAAAACATAGCCGCCGATAAACTCAACAATGGTCTTGCAGTTTGTACAAAGCGGTCGAAAAGTTAGAGAGCCGGTTCGAAAGTCCAGAACCACTTTTCCGGCTTCCCAGTTCACATTCCACGCACGGAGGTCTGTAAAGTTCCAGGCCCGAAGCACATCGCCAGTATGTGGAGATATGATCTCGAACCGACCTTGACATATGGCAACAACATCATCCATAGGAGCACTGAAAAACCCACCGTTGTTCGTATTCAACCCGAGGTTAGTCCCACGGTCGAACTCTACAGTGAAGTAGCTTCGACCAAAGCCAGTGAGGCGTTGCCACGCTTGAATGAACTTGTACTTTGTTTCAAGCAGAGATAAATCACGAATACTCACATGAGCCTCAGTTATTCGGTGCCGTAGATAGTCTTTTGACTTGGCCTTCCGGATGATCCGATCTGCGCAAAAATCACTCAGGTCGCCCAGGTACTTTACTGATTCATCCGCAGAGATGGCGGGAGTAGGTCCAGGCACTTGGAGTCGGAGAATTTCCAATATTGTATCGACCTCTCGATCGTAAGCGACTCGACTGGCCAAGGTTTTACCTTTTGAGCCCAGACGGCAGGCCGCTAACCATCGGGCATATTGCTCAGCTGCTTCAAAGCGCAGCCAGAGCTCATCGCGACCACCACTTTCTGTGGATTCAGGGAGGACAGAGAGTTTAAGGATATACTTGTGAGTTGCTGTGCTCACATCAGGGGTGATGGTACAATCACGCAGCGAATAGCTGTACAGAGGATGCTCACAATCACGTTGACTTTTGTACAAATGGAGTCGAGCCTCCCGAATAACAACCCAATAAACCTTGTAACGCCGCAACAAAAGAGTACGTTCCTTGAATACTCGCAGACTATCTTGCAACGAAGGGATCTCAGCCGTATCTGTGACATCACAACTACGAAGATTAGAGCGCAGCGTCCCACCGTAAGTGTCTGGGGAATTCTGTAGAGCTCTAGACGCTGAACCCGGTTCCTCGGCTACCCCACATGATTGTTCTAGTTCTGCCAGCAAGGCATCTACCTCATCTACTCCGCCCTGAAGCTGCTGTTGGGAAGCGCCATCGACTACACTTGCACTTGGAAACGGAGATGCGTTTCCGGAGAGACGCATAAGCGATGAACTGCCTCCCTGTTCACTAACCCCGTAATAGGGTGATCCAAGAGCAGTTGGTTGTCGTTTCGAGAGTTCTGGGCTGCTTCGCAGTCTATGCGCATAATGCGTACCCAATGTGCTGCTACCTGGTCCAAAGGTGGGATAATAGTTTGGGCTCGAGGGTTCTGTGAGAGACCCCGGATACATCATTTGTCTGACTGCTGTGGACTGCAACTCAGCTTGCAGCTGATAGGCTGCGAAAACGATCATTTCATCCTCTGTACAGTCAATCAGACCTGACAATATAGACCAACGTGCTTGTTCGTACAACTGATGTATTCTCACGGCATCGTACTTCATATTGATATCATAAAATGCAAAGAACTTGAAGCACAGGTACAATGTCGGTAAAGCAGTACCAGCTTCTTCATATCCGGTCGGTGGAGGCTCGATTCCATGTTCCAGAAGGGATCGGGATGAGTCAAGCCAACCGCTATTTAGCCGGGCTTTCTGAACCAAATTTTTCGGTTTTAGTAACCAATCCTCACCGAACACTGTTTTGGCACGTCGCCTAAAGTTACAGTCAGCATATTGCGCAACGTCCAATCGCTCACGATCTAGAGAGTTCTCTGAGTGCATTCGGGCCATAGTCCCTGCGGTAGAATGGAGTGTTCCGTATGGGCTACGTGGTGATGCGTCGACACCAGGACTGAGCGGTGTGGGTGAGCCGGAAGTGGAGAACTTGGAACGCATGGCGGAAGCTTGCGTGGGGCGCGACTGGAAGCTCGTAGGCGCCGGAGAAATCCGGACTCCCTGCCGAAGATCCGGGTGAGGCAAATTGGATTTCAGGTGGGCCTTGGTGATTGGAAAGGACAGAGACAATTCTTCTGGATGTCGAATGTTCAGTTCCTTGCAAATTCCTCGGACAACATTAAACACACGAGCGGAATAATTTACACGAAGCACCACAGAGACCATCGAAGGTAATATCACTTGGAGATTGCCATGCATCCGGCGGAACACCAGTTTCGCGTCAGACTGGATTCCGTATTGATCCAAGGTGGTTCTATTGTGTAAAAGCCACATATTGCGGTCAGCCCACCAAACCCCATGATCGGACCAGCTTTGCTGTCGATTCGCACACTCAACAATTCGGTGCATCAGTCCTCCCAAAGTCAAATCACCCAAAACCCGAACTTTTACCTCCGCACCAAGATCTTCAACGTAAACTGACAGTTCCCAAGATCCGTCAATGTAGTTCCCATCCACAAGGAGCCTGTTAAGCGTAGCAAGTCCATTAGCAGCTGAATAGCTGTAAGAAACTCCATTTTCTGTTCCTCCCCGATTCATGCGATCATAATGACTGACGGTGGATGCCATGGTGTACAGTTGTGTGTACAGTTATGACTGTCGTTCAATTTAATCCATAGTTCAGCAAGACGCGTGACGAGGAAGACCCTCGCCTTCGGTTATCGGAAAGCGAATAACCGTCTTAACTGGCTAGCTATCCTCTAGTCAACGGCGTAGGCTGAGTGGTGTGCCATCACACGAACAGGCACACACAACACAAGCCATGGGCGGTATGCGCATCACACGTGTATACACACACTCCACGCGCGCCTTCATTGACCCTGCGTCATACGCCGGTTTGCGATTGGCTAATGTAACCAGTGTCCTGGTTGGATAGAAATCGTTGCATATTCCGCCTATAGATTTAGGGCTCCATTGTCTGTCAGCCTAACGATCAGCCCAACAGCCCATATCAATGCCTAAATGGGCGTGTGCAAAAAATCGCGCTCGACCCAACTTAGAGGCCAGACCGTCGTCGGCTCGACCAAGGGCTCAGGTTACACCATAAGTCGTGCGACAAACCAGGCCACGACCGACATCACGGTGTTTGAAATTGGCTTGGAGGGCTTATTGGTGTTTCTAGCGCCTCACGTAGATTGCCGTCCGTCACTTACGCAGGCGACTTCGCCTGCCTGTGCCTGCTTCAGCTTGCACAAGGCTTTCCAACAATCCCCACTGCTCCCCCTTGAAGAAAGAACATTCAGTTGAATGACAAATTGTTGATCCTGGATACATCCACGACATCCAACAGCATCCACAGGCTGGCTACTTAGTTATTCGGACGTTTCCTAATGCTGTGGCCCCTTTATATACTCGACGAAACAGACTACGCTGCCTTGAACGTTCTCGACCCGACACTGAATACAGGGTTGCTGAACCACTTCGACCATCCACTATCTGTTTCGCCGAGTGCTTCAGCTTTTTTTCTTATCCTGAAAACAAGGTGTATGTAAGTGGAGTGACACACTCATTGGAAAAATCGACTTGATGTTAAGGGGATGTTATTTTAGTGTATTCAAAATTATTGTGCAGTCTGGGGTTGGCAACGATGTGGTTCCAGGTCTCCCGCGACATCAAATTGATTTGCAAACGGTTGTATAACTCCACAATCCGATGCTCAAGTAGGAAAGAAAGAAAATGGAGATTTCGGGGACCAAACCTGTCTGATTAGACCTGAGAAGGGAGAAACCGGCAGCGAGCTGTCTGGGGTTTTCATGAGCATTCCATTAGTACTGAAACACAATTCAACATCTTGAATATCGTTTCAGCTGAAAAAAGAGACAGCTTTTGTGCAGTTCATTCAGTTGAAGACAATTACAGGAGAGGGATATCGGTGGATTTCAGCTGAGTCTCCCTTCAAGGCCAATTTAATTTACAAACGAGTGGTCGTCTCAACAAAATTGGTTTCCATGCTATTTATGAGGTTGCTGAATACTGTTCGATAGTCCACGACCAATTTCGTCTTCCTGAAGTTAGGCGTGGTCCCAGTTTTCATGATGCCTATTTCCTACTTGAACACCAAACTGTTGCCACTGGCGAAATACACTCAGTTGCAAATTACATCAGCGTTAACGAGTGACTCGACCGAATCCCTTCTTATGATTGTATTCTACTGAAGCTTCTTCATAAGGGCCACATCATATTTCATCTGAAATGCTATTCGAGACATTGAGGTATATTATTTTAACTTAACACACCTAAGGCTTATGAGAATTCTGGATGGTCCACTAACTGTTTTGCAGTTCATGGGAAGGCCTGACCTCGAATCTTGATCAGTCTTATTTTCTGCATGAACACAAATATTTGGTTTCTTTCTCTTCGTTCGAATTAATTAGTCTGGATTCAAACTTACTGATGAATCGTGAGACATACGATCTCATTCGGTGTGGGCAGTTGCAAAATTGGTGACTTCAAGACTGAGTTTGGAGTTTGGTTCGGAAAGGAAAATGGACAATTTTCAGTCAAAATGTAACCCAAGTACGGAAATTGTAGCTAGTCGTTTTATAGGTGACTGAGGTGAAGTTTTGGAACAGGGCACTTCTCTGCGGTAGTGCCACGTTTTACTATGTTCATTATTTTATTATTATTATTATTATTATTATTATTATTTATTCTATTCGATTCACAATAATGGGATCATGATGGAAAATTTTTGTGGTCCCATATTTAAACCACAAAATTCACTATGTACGCTTTTTATCTGTTTGTTATTTCGCTTACAGGGTGGGACTGATCCTGTAAAAGAAGCGAATGTCTTCCCTATTCGGTAAGAATTATGCGATACTGCTCTTCAATATACGTCTGCGGTCGCTGAAGGCTATGAGGCATCTGACCACGTGATGTCTCCATCTGATGACCTGACAGGTCGACAAGCAACAGGGTGTCATCTGAGCTAACGATTCTGGAACAGTTATTCAAAGAATGTTTTTACACAAATCCGTCATTCGATGAAATGTCCCTTCGACTGATGAACCTGAGCCTCTTACCCGATAGTATAATTTTTTAGTCCCAGTCCTAGTCTTATAGTTTTTAAAAGTTAAAACAGGCAAATACAAGGCTAAGGAGAAAACGCGTAAATAATTTTCACATACAACCTTCACCTTGCCTGAAACGAGTTGTAGCGTTTCGGTGATCAGCACAACTCTATAATTAAACTGTTACCTTAATTATTTGCTCAGTCGTAGCCTTTTCCGAGGGTAAAAGGCAATATTATCAGAACACAATGGTTGCGAGTATTCTTATCAGACTTATCAGCACTTATAGAGAGTTTATAGGGTCAAAGGGACAGATTCCCTTGGTTACAGCTAAGAAATGACTTATACATGCTTTTTCGAGTTTCCCTCCGAGACCTAAGTTGTAGTCATTGCTCTGAAGTGCACACACTTCCTTTTGTCCACTCGCTCTGATCCTTTCCAAGGGTTCATACGAATGTGAGCTGTTTTTGGGTTCTCACCAAGAAAATCTCACTTACTGTTCCCTAAACCATGTAGACTATTTATAAGTATACTTTTTCGGATGAGACTTTATCGAAGGCGGTTGTCATTATTCCTGCATTCTGAATCCAAATGAGTCAGCTTAATAGATTATGCAGTTGTTCACACAGGGCAAAATTAGACCTCAAGTTAAACCTGAATTACGAATTGTAGTCCGATATTTCTGCAAACAGGAATGAAATAGATAATGCGACTGGTATCGAAAACGACGAAATTAGGATTACAGGACGGTTTTGGTTAAGCCGAAGAAAGAAAACTGTGATGGCTGAATTTCGCTTTGAGATTGCGACACGCCAGACGATATTCACGGGGCTCCCCTAAGCTATGAACTATATCCGAATAACGAATACGAAATCCTCCGCGTTGCATTATTGCAGTGGTCGTTCGGAATTCGAAATGACCGTAGAAAGTACCCGATAGATAGAAAAAAGAATTAATCTCTCCCAAATAAGAGTGTGGTTGACTGACTGGAGTTGAAATCATGTTTTCAAGTTTGGCGCTTCTGAAATGTCCAGAAACTGTACTCTCTTACCATCAGTGCATAAAAATGATGAGATATACTAGACTTTTTCCGTTTTCCAAGTTGTCCACTCCTTCCGAGTACTGTTTGACTTGTCGCAATTAAGGGATGATATTCTATCCATTTGTCCACGGAAGGGCATATCTCAGCTACGGACAAAAGTGATCATCGACCCGGATGGGACGAATTAACAACCTGAATTAGCATTTCGTCTACTTTCAGTCATCGCCTACTTCACAGGATGACGTAGTTGAATTCCGAGATTCTTTGTTATCATTTTTATTATTACTATTATTGGTATAAGACATGGGGCATTTCTATGTGGAATCCCAAGTTAAACTGACAGAAACATTAGGAGGAGACGACTTGAAGGTGTCCCTTGGTCTGTGTTCTACCAACCAGTTAGATAATGTTCTTCTGATTACTGAGAAAGACACAGTCAGGTAAACAGCTTGAAAAAAGGCGATGCGGTGAATCACGGAGCATAGCATACTGATGTCAAATATAACACCAATCATTCTTTCGAATGGTTAGGTTTCATGGAACAATGACGCTTTGGTTTCGAGTGGCATCCTGTGTTTATTGCCTACTGTGAGAGAATTATACCATGAATGGGCTTAACTACAGTGTTCACTCTGAAATGCAGCACTTGTATAGTTTAGTGGTGTCGAATGCAGGTATTCTTTAGTGGGGGGGCATCTCAACTGAATCTCTTTCGCAGTCTTCACTGGAAAAGACCACTGCGTTGTCTCTCTCTTTTTGCTTCGTTGGGTGGATCTACTACAACCAATAATGACTTAGATGAAAAGCCTGGCAATAACATAGATTTGCAGTTTCCTTTAGACAAGCACGTTCTTCCAGTACAACAAAGTCATCAATCCATGTGAAGGAAGTTGAAAAACGATAGGGTTTTTAATGCACACTTTGGAGAGTGTTTGATCGTACCTAAAATCCCGTCTATATTTTCTTGCCCACCTTGCACCATGTGCAGCTCAACGGTAGATTTCGAACATATGTTTAAAATGAGGACCAACGGAATTTTGCAGAGTTTTAAGCTGATAATCATGTTACTAGGTTGCTTTCTTGTCTTGGCTTATGTCCATGTACCAAATACTTCGACTATTTTGTCTAGCAACCTGATACGGTCTGATAAGGCTCACACGAATGAAAGATCTGATTTGCCGCGTTTACTCGTCTAAGGCCTATCAACATCTAGTCAGTTTGGGTGCCGGTGGGACCTGCCCTAGAACCAGGCTAGAAAATGGCATTCTCTGTGCTGGAGGTGTACACCATCTTCCCTGGCCAAAATTACGCATGCCAATGCGGATGAAGTTTACTGATTTGGCAAACGAAGTACACTGTATCGTTCCTAGAAGTCTGCTGTTGGAGGAAACTATATGGACTAGTGGTACTCAACTTTTACTGCATTCACTGTTGTAAAATGTACCCCGTAGATCGGGAAGGAAAAATATCTGAAAATTCTAAACAGTGGATCACATATGCGATCCCTTTTATGCTCGCCTAGTATGTCCGAAAAAGAATGAAGACGTCCATGCGACAGGTTTGTTTTGGGATCTAAGTCTAACCACATCGAAAACACATCAGGAAAATCCAAGCTCATGGCGTGTTAGTTATCAGGTTCATTAATTTTTAATGCAAATAAGACATTCTGGCTATAGTCGTCAGTAGTCAGATGATTCTCCGAACATGTTAACAGTCAGTTAAAACAAAAAGTCCCACACCTAATTAGCATATCTGTGTTCTAAGTCTCATCGTGCTGTTTTACCTGAAGCCGGTTGAATGAACTCACCTGCAGTTCAACAATATTAATTTTTAACTACAAAACAAAATTTTATCTGATTTATGGACAGTCTTAAACAGCATGAGAAAACCAGTGTGAGGTGAGTTGTAAGTGCTGACACGATTTTCCGACAGTCTGATCACGTGGTTCACGGGAGTAGAACCACACCCAAGGAACACTGGACTGAGTAAATCCGGTAAGTAGATCATGAGAGCTGTTCCAAACAGCTTAATGGTTTGATTTGCTGAAGACGATGATTTCGATGTGCACCTTTTACTGGAAATCTGCTTCCCTGTTCGTTTTGATAGGCACTAAATATCTCAAATGTAACGCAATTCAAAGTATTTCACCAGCGCTCTAATCTCAGTGGATGGAAATGAGTAACTTTTGGCCAGCAGGTGACGAATGATATTCGAGATCGAGCCCAGAATCCAAAAGGACAGTACTTTGGTAACTGGTGTGGAAAAGTCAAGAAGTGGAATCAAGAATTGGATGAGACATAATCAAGGAAACTTCTGTTCCATCCAGCGAAGAGTTCACACTGGCCAGATTGTAGACTGAATATCCGCCCGATTGGGGATTTTAGAATACACTATCACACCAGGGAATGGATGTGAAAGCGTTTAGAGCTATAAAACTGATTTTGTCGTTGAGCGGCATTGAATTAGGCACTCGGCGCTCGTTCGAAGTACAATGAAGTGATTCACCGGGTTATGGAAGCGAAAAGGTCAGGAAATGTAGTCAAAATCTTGAGTTTGTCACGTCCAGTTTTCAGTTTTTTGACGTTTTTTCGCCAAATGCTACGGTGCTATACTTGTGGATTCTGGGTTTGTTTTTTATCGGGTTCGTCAATTATTGACCAAAAGTCATCTATTTTCATTCACCCGTGAAAACATAGAGTGGTCCTATGACTTCACCATGAGGTAAAGGGTGAGAAAACAGACCGTCGAGCTGTTGGGCAACACCCAGCCATCAGCCGACAAGGGTTCAGCAGAGGTCAATA